AGTGGAGGAGTGGGGAATCAAACCCGGTTCTCCCAGATTAGAGTCCGCGCACTTCACCACTACACCAGACAGGCTACTGGCCTGTGCCCATCCCCAGAGGAGACAGGAGGGCTGGGCACAAGCTACTCTTAGTTGCTGTCGCTTCTCCCTCCCCAGCCATTGACACTGATGCTTCAGAGTGTCCCATACTCTCCCGCAAAGCAAGACAGGGCATTGCTGGCTGCCACCTGGGATAACCCATGGTCCATACTAGGGGTGAGAAATGGTGTCTATGTGGCAACAGACCGCAAGCTCTCCTCTTCCTCTCTTGGCTCCTGTGCCAGATAGCTAAAGGTACAGCTGCTGATTGATGCTGCAGCGGTCAGAAGACTCTGCCAGGGAGCAGATGTTGCTTTAGGGACCTACCTGTGTGAAGAAGGGCTTCTCCTTCCTCCCCACTCATGGTGTGTGTGCGGCAGGAGGAGCTAGTTCCTCCTCTCAACTCTCCAGTAGAGGAAGCGGCGGCGGCTTCAAGATTTCCACAGTCATAGTGGTAGCTTAGCTGCCCATGGTGGATTTGGCCTTATTAATGGTGGACTTTCTTTTTTAAAAAAAAATCTTTATTCATCCCAATAAATTGCAATATTTGTATACGGACCAATGCTGTTCCTAGGGGAACTAGTTAATACTGGGTATTTTAGTGGGTATGCTGCGAATTAACTAACTGGTTATAACGGCAGTTTTATGGATTTACAAGGTTGTATTTTATTTTATACAATTTTTAATGTTTTATTGCATTCTTCTCTGTTTGTGGTTTGTAATGGCCTATGCCTACAATAAAAACCTTCTCTCTCTCTCTCTGTATACTGAACGTAAGATAACAAATCTAAATAATGCAAATTTAGCGCATAAAGGAAATTCCAAGTAGAAGAAGAAGAAGAAGAGATTGGATTTATACCCCGCCCTTCACTTGGAGTCTCAGAGCGGCTGACAAACTCCTTTCCCTTCCCCTCCCCACAACGGACACCCTGTGAGGTGGGTGGGGCTGAGAGAGCTCTGACACAAACTGCTCTTTTTCAAGAACAGCTCTTATCAGAACTACGGCTTGCCCAAGGTCATCCAGCCAGGTGCGAGTGGAGGAGTGGGGAATCAAACCCGGTTCTCCCAGATTAGAGTCCGCGCACTTCACCACTACACCAGACAGGCTGTGGGGCTGAGAGAGCTCTGACACAAACTGCTCTTTTTCAAGGACAGCTGTGCCAGAGCTTGTGACTGACCCAAGGTCACATCAGCAGGTGCAAGTGGAGGAGTGGAGAATCAAACCCGGTTCTTCCAGATTAGAGTCCGCACACTTAACCACTACACCAAACTGGCTCAATATAACAAGGTTTCCATCTCTCCCAAAGCCATCACAACTTGTTCATTGTGGGAAGGGAAATATCGCAGACAGGTCATTTAATAACATCCGTTTAGTCCAGTCTTTCTAATGGTGGACCTTCTTGAGACCACAGAACCCTACTAGGGGCCTGGCCATGCTTACCCCTGATCAATGCTCCTTCTAAGCTGTGGAGTCTTATGAGCAAAAACCCTTTCTGCTTCGAAAGTTGGATCCTTATACTAGGCTGGGGTGAAATATGGAGGGCTGAAGGGAGTTTGCTCCCTTCCTCTCCCCCAGCCCCAATTCCCCTCCTTTTATACAGGCCTTTACATCTGTCGCCTAGATCATACTATGTATTTTTGATTTAAAAAGTGAAATTTACCATTTTCGCAGCTGGGGCACTGCCAGAGGGTCTGGTTGACAAATTAAGTGTCAGTTTCATGGTGTTTCACCCTGAAAGGGTGGTGAGACTCCTTACAACTTTTACCTCCCTAGCAGTGTTCCCTCTAAGCTGTGGAGTCTTGTGAGCAAAAAATCAGCTTTGTGAGCTACTAGCATTAAAGTAGTGAGCGAGCGATTTGGCTACTGCGTAAATCAGTTTGCTTTGGAGCCATCCTTTCTGAGCGAAGACAGAAATGTGTGAGCCGGAGGCTAAAACACTGTGAGCTAGCTCACACTAACTCAGCTTAGAGTGAACATTGCTCCCTAGGCATGGGATGCTAGTTTAGAAGACCTGTTGGAGGGGGTAACCATGGAATTAATTGGGGGGGGATTCATACCACCAGGCTGTGGCCAGGGTTTTGTGGGTTTTTTTCTGGTGGGGCTGCCCTTATTTGCCGTTATTTTTCAAATAAAAGATAAAAAGATAAAAATATTGTCTGTAAATAACTGTACTTCCCTGTTTGGTGTAGTGGTTAAGTGCGCAGACTCTAATCTGGGAGGACCGGGTTTGATTCCCCACTCCTCCACTTGCGCCTGGCTGGATGACCTTGGGCAAGCCGTAGTTCTGATAAGAGCTGTTCTTGGAAAAGAGCCATTTCTGTCAAGAGCTCTCTCAGCCCCACCTACCGCACAGGGTGTCTGTTGTGGGGAGGGGAAGGGAAAGGAGTTTGTAAGCCACCCTGAGACACCTTTGGGTAGTGAAGGGCAGGGTATAAATCCAATCTCCTCCTCCTCCTCCTCCTCCTCGCCTTCCTTCCCCTTCTCCATTCACACAATCCTTTAAAATAATGTTAACATTTTTTGAAGAAAATCTTGTGGAGCTATCCCTTTAAGGGAGGGGGCGGAGCCCCCCAATAGCCCCACCGCAGCTACGGGCCAGCATACCACCATCAAGCCATACCACCAAGTAGTGCTACTTCACACTTGCAAAGATTGGGGCGGTTATGAAACGCCGATAATCGCCATGTACGAGCACTTTACAAAATGAGGAAAAGGAAGACACTTGGGGGGGGGCTTGGTAATGCAACAGTTTAGTGCAGGGTTCCCCAACGTGGTGCCTGTGGGGGCCATGATGTCTGCCGGTACTTCCCTTGGTGCCCGCCGAGCTTTTTAGAAAGTGGAGGGGCCACTGTGAGGCAGGGATTTTTTTGGCTGCCCTCATTCAAATGAAAGGGTTTTCCACCGGAGGATCAGGAGACTGGATAAGCCCCTGGGTTTCTCTTAGGCTGTGTGGTTCCACTACCGCTTCAGGCTTTCCTTCTTCCCAGGAGGCGTGAGGAGGGCGTTTGGCTTCACCTCGTTTGGTTTCGCCTTGTTTGGCTTCGTCTCTGACTGAGACCATTTGGGGCTGGCTCCGCCTGTTGTGGAAGCCATTTATTGTGGCAGTCCCCCCCCCCCCCCCCCCCCCCGCTCAAAATTCCAAATGTGCCCACAGGCTCAAAACCCCCAGGTTTAGCATGTAATCTTGATCTCATGGGTTTTCTAAATTGGCTTAGATTGAGAGTTGTGTATGTCTTATTCTGTACACTCCCTTGAGCGATTCACGAGACAGCGTACATTTAAGTCGTACTGAATACGGTGGGGTGGTAGCAGCGTACATTTAAGTCGTACTGAATACGTTGGGGCTTTTGTGGATGCATGACTCTGTGTACATGTTGAAAGTGAATTTTGTGAGAAAACACACACACAAATGCCTGCAGCCTGGCATGAAGCTTGTAGAACATGGCACTGAACCCCGGTCTTCATTGTGATGCCTGCCCTTAGTGACAGAAGTCGGACGATACGCCCCACATGAATGATGAAACTGTGACTGGGTATCAGTTTCCCGATTTAGTTCCTTTTAGTTCCTCCATCCGCAATTGAGTCAAGAACAAAAAAAGGAGTGGGGCTGAGATTTCAAAAGTGAGTCAGCACTTCGGCGCCTATAAAAGCCATGCCGCTTTCCTGCCTTGTAACCTCTGTTCTAACCGCTTGGTTTCTGTCTAGTAGGTCTATGAAATGTTGTCATTGTAGGCATGAAATAATGTGGCGATCGCAAAGCTGCGGTGTTCTCTGCTTTCAGACTAGCTTGACAGGAGGGATTAAATTAAGATGTGCAGATGGGCTGTGTGTCTGAAAACTTAATTGGGATGTTAAATAACCAAACTTTGAAAAAGAAGCCTCCTGTGCTTTATTGTTATGGTCTAAAAGCACAAGTGCTCAGACAGATCAAGCAAAGATCCTTCTTCTTCCTATGAAGTGCCAATTGCTGGTTGGAGTTCCTTCAATTTGCCTTGGGGCCATGCAGGAAAGGGAGAGGAAATTTAACCTTTCAGCCTCTATGAAACTAGCTCCTGTACCCTCCTGTATTCGAAGAATGAAATCCCGCTTCGGCAGGAGGGCGGGATAGAAATCAAATAAATAATAATAATAATAAGTAGGATTAACCAACCAACCAGCCCCTCTCCTTTGGCTGCACAAGCCTGCAGTTTGTGTTTTATGGGTGCAGGCTTGATTGTTTCCCTTCCAGGGATGCCAGCGTCTAGGTGGGACCTGGGGATCCCCTGGAATTACAGCTCATCACTACAGAGATCAGTTCCCCTGGAGGAAATGGATGATTTGGAGGGTGAAGTCTATAGATGGGAAGGCCCAGGGAAAAACTGGAAAAATTCGGGGGGGAAAATGTTTTTTCCCCATTTTTTTCCTGAAGCCTTTTTTTGTTTTTTTCTGAAAAATTGGAAAAAGAAAAGAAATTGATTATGGAATGCTTTATTTTAACATGATGAATAAATTTTTTTAGGACAAGGTGTTCAAATATTTTCCAAATCATGTCTAAAAAATATGCATGGTATCAGATTGTTCTAATTTCTGTGCACTGAGGACAAGCAAGTCCTAGGTTACAAACTGAACTCTCCAATGCAAGAACATAAGAACATAAGAGACACCAATGTTGGATCAGGCCAAAGGCCCATCCAGTCCAACACTCTGTGTCACACAGTGGCCAGAAATACCAGTGCCATCAGGAGGTCCACCAGTGGGGCCAGGACATTAGAAGCCCTCCCACTGTTGACCCCCCCCAAGCACCAAGAAGACAGAGCATCACTTGCCTCAGATCCCCTATCTATACCTTGTGGCTAATATCCACTGATGGACCTCTGCTCCATATGCTTATCTAATTCCCGTTTGAAGCCGTCCATGCTTGTAGCCGCCACCACTTCCTGTGGCAGTGAATTCCATGTGTTAATCACTCTTTGGGTGAAGAAGTACTTCCTTTTATCCGTTCTAACCCGACCGCTCTGCAGTTTCATGGAGTGCCCACGAGTTCTTGTATTGTGAGAAAGGGAGAAAAGTACCTCTTTCTCTACCTGCTCTTTCCCATGCATAATCTTATAAACCTCGATCATGTCACCTCTCAGAACAAAATGCATTTCTTCCTTTAGGAGGTGCTATTGTGGGGAACAGAGATTGGGAAAAGATCTCTCCATACGCTTGTGCGTTGTAGGGTCCAGTCCTTTATCATTTACTCTTTTTAGTGCCAGGATTAGTTTAAAGGAAACTCATTTTCAGAAAAAGAAATAAATGAATCAAAGGAGGCCCAAGTGCAGGGGGACAGGGGCAATTTTAAAAAATTCACTGGGAAAGAGGAATGAGAGCGAATAAGCCAACAGTGTGGTGGCAGCTGCCAGTCAGATCTCCAGTGGCCAATCAGATGTCCTGCTGGACAAAAGCCCCACCTTCTCTCACGCACTTCCTAAAAGACTTGGCAGGAATCAGGAAAGGTGTCTGTAAGCACCGTGTCAGGGACCCTGGTCTTATCTCATCTTTTTCTTCTTAAAATTCAAAACTAGTGAATCTCTCGGAATTGGAAGATCACCCAATCTCCAACCACGAGGCATTAGAGTGGAGTGTGCTAAAGTTTTGCACTTGCTTAGAATTACATTCCACCAACACCCCCGTCTTGACTTCTGTAACGTAAACTGAAGGAAGAACTTTTAGGTCACAGACGGTCTTAAAGAGATATCGATCCCCAATGGGGTTAACCATTTTGAGTTTAACTTTTCACAGATGAGTTTCATTCAATGGAAATCTTCTTAACAGGAAAACGATTTGACAGGAACAGGTTTACAATATTTCAGAGAACTATTTAGTGGGCAAAAATGTTCTTTTTTTGTGGTAGCAGCTGATAATAAAAAAGCCTGGGATTTTTCCCTTGTACAAAACAGCTTCCCCCCTGACTTTAGGTATTCAAAAAGTTCCTAAGTCATTACGCGTTCAGAAACCTTTTCCAACCTGGAGAGGCAAGAAATAGGAAAATTGAATTGTGAGGTAGAATCAATTGACCATCTTCACTGCTCCTCTTCCGAGACTCCTGGGAAATGTTGACCTCCTCTTCCTCTTCCTCTGATTTTTTTGGGTCGGCCTCGAGGTTTCCTCCCAGGTGCCGCAGAAGTTTTCCTTCCCTTCGAAGCAGCCTTGTTTTTGCTCCCCTTTGGTCTCCCACGTGGTCGCTTGGGGACTGGTGCCTCGCTGGGTTCCTGCTCAGGCTGCTTCCTGGGCCTCCCTCGGCCTCTCATCTCAGAGGCATCCTTGTCCTGTTTGGCAGCCAGAGCTTGGCCTGATTTTGCACTGGATTCACTCGTCTTTCCTTGCCGACTACGGGCAATTTGCGAGAGGCAAGCCGGAGCTGAGCCCAACCTTTCGGGCACAGCACTTCCGCCTCCCCTCTTCCAACCTGGAGAGGCAATAGAGGAAGCTTTGGTTGTGTTCTGCTGGGCAGGCCACCGGCAAAGGTGTGTAGGACTTAGGGCTGCCAGCTCTGTATTGGGAAATACCTGGAGATTCTGGAGGAGGAACATGGGGAAGGCGGGGTTTAGAGATGGGAGTGACCTCAGCAGGGTACAAGGCCACCGAGTCCACCCTCCGAGGCCGCCATTTTCTCCAGGGGAACTGATCTTGGTCATGTGGAGATCAACTGTACTAGTAGGAGATGTCCAGGTACCACCTGGGGGTTGAAATCAAAACGGGAAGACACTGCAATAAGACGCTCAATTATTTAGTAAATGTTCTAATTACAATACTGTATTTAACAATATTTTGACACAGATTGGTTTGTTGTGTTTTTTTTCCTGATGACTTTGATGGCGCATGTTGATTCGATGACTTACGTTGGTTGGTGGATGACTGATGTTGACGGTTCTTATATGAATATAAGAGAACCTATGGTGTTTAAGTCCTTGCGCTTTTAAATTCAGCTTGCTCTTCGTATTTGCTCGTATCACTTTATTGTACACACGATCAACTGATCTGTGTCAAAACATTGTAAAATATATTATTGTAATTAATGAGAAAATTTACTACATGGTTAGCATCTTATTGCAGTGTTTTCCCCTTTCGATTTTCACTTACACACTGTAATCCTTACCACCTGGAGGTTGACAACTCTAGCCGGACTTTGTGATCTGTGTGTGCACACGTGTGGGTTTAGTTTATTCATATTGCTCTCTCTTTGCCTGGTTAGGAGACCCAAGGCAGTTCACAACACCCCCCCCCCCAAGTCAGCTATAAAGATATATATTAAGGCCCACAAACTAACTGAATCCTATAAAAGCAGCATATCAAGAAAGGAAAGTCGTAAAATCAGGCATCGGAGTGGGCCAGACAGCCTCCTCGTAAAAGGGAGATGCAGCAAAGCAATCCTAACGGATTGTCAAAGACCTTCCAGAGCGGAACGGTCTTGGTCCTCTCTGGAAGTTCTGCAGTGATGGAGCAAATCTAATCAACTCAGAGAGCGGGCAGCTGGTGAAAATGCCATCCTGTGGGTTCCTGCCAACCTAATGTCAGGTAAGGCGGGTTCCTTTATGAAGGCTTTGTTCGAATCTCAGGCTGATGGCGCAGAAGGTACTTTCGACTCAAGTTCCCATTGAAAGCTGGTTGGCGGTGATGCGGACCTGGGTTCCAGCTCGCTGGGTGTCTTTGGATCCGCTGCTGTCTCTCCACCAAACTTACCTCATGGGATAATTATTTATTTATTAGATTTGTACCCCGCCCTCCCCAACGGGCTCAGGGCGGCTACAACAGAGGCAATTGCCATAACAACAGTTAAAACAACATAAAAACAATCATTAAATAAAGTGCGGTGCTCTTGGTGTTAAAGTTTCTAATCCAAGATGAGTTCCATTCAACGACCCAACCTGACAACATACATTCTTCGGTTGACTAGGCGTCTGCCCAGGGCCAGTTTGTGAGGCTAAAGTGAGGTTTGTGAGGCTAAAATGAGGAAGAGGAGAAACTTGCCGGTGTCCTGAATTCCGTGGAGGTGTGTTTGTGTGTGTGCGCGCGCTGTCAAGTCACAGCTGTCTTATGGTGACCTCTGGTGGGGTTTTCAAGGCAAGAGACAGTCAGTGGTGATCTGCCTCCACATCACAACCCTGCTATACCTTGGAGGTCTCCCATCCGAATACTAGCCAGGGGTGATCCTGCTTAGCTTCCGAGATCTGAGGTGATCGGGTGAGCCTGGGCTATCCATGGAGGGAGGGTAGAACAAAAGTGCAATAGAAATACCATCTGTGTTGACTTCGCGGAGTGCTCTTTCTTTCTGTTTCGGGATTGAGGTTGCACGTTCAAGAAGGCACTTCTTCCTTCCCCGTCCGTAACCCAGCCATACAAGGCTGATAGGGCAGGAGCGTGCATTGGAATCCGATCCCCCTTGTGATGTGTGATGATGAAGTAGGATACGGGTGACTCTGCTTATTGTCTTTCTTTTGTGCTACAGACGCTCGTGACACCGAACAACTGAAGCGGAACAACGTCACGCACATCCTTTCGATCCATGACAGTGCCAGGCCTATGCTCGAGGTAAGGGGTGGGGTGGGGAAATAAATGTGTTGCTACTGCAGCCACTAGAATTCCTTCAGCTGCAGTCTTACTATAAATGCCTGCTTCTGTATCTTTGTGTGGTTTAAGTCCGCCTGATAAGGCATGGAGTCCCAACGTGGCACGTGGGCTCCATCCACACATCACTGGGTATTGTGTTACCATTGTGACACAGCAATCATTGGCAGCTAGACTCTCCTTTGTGGGCAACAATAGTCTAGTATGCAGTGAGGGGTGAGTGCAGGCCTTAGGTTTTTCCTCCATTACCCACTTCAGGTTCTTGACTGTTGTTTATTTATTATTTATTATTATTTATTGTTCATATTTCTATCCCGCCCTCCCCGGAGGCACAGGACGGCTTACAAGGCGTATTTGCCAGATAAAACAGTAAAACAGTACAAAATATTAAATTACATCCTCATTAAAACAATTTTGGTGCTCCTCTCAGCTAATTTCCAAATTCCAAGTTACAATTCCTAAAATCGTGATGGCCGCCCCCTAAGCGTCCTGTTCTCACCCATAGTGCAGCAATTTGGGGGCATAGGTGTATGTGCCCCCATCCTGATGTCTATATATGGGGCGTAGATGGTAGTGCACTAGTAGTGGCGGCTCCTATTCAAAAGCCTGGCGGAAGAGCTCCGTCTTGCAGGCCCTGCGGAACTGTGCTAGGTTTGGCATGACTGCCATACCTCTGCCCATTCCTAAATCCCTGCTCCTCCCCTTATCCCTCCCCTCCCTGGCCTTACACCCCGGATTTAAGTGTCAGCATCCTGTTTTGAGTCGGGGCAGGGGTTGCTGTTTCCACGTTGGCTGGTGAGGTCGTCAGGCCGCGCTGCCCCACTCTGCTGCAGGGCGGGGCTGGCTTGGCATTTCGGCCCGTCGTGGCCCCGTCGTGTCCTTGAACCATTGGTGGCTCTCCCTGCACTCTGCCAGCCTATCCGGGCGGGGAGGCACGCCCATCCCTACCTGCTGCTCTGCCTCCACGTGGTCGGGGTCTTGCCTGGCCGGACCTGCCATAGGGGCTTCCATTGTCAGCTGGCTTGGCCAGGTGGGGAGAGGTAAGCTTGTTGTTGACCATTCCTTGTGCTCCTGCTGCCTCTTGCACTGGAGCGAGTGAGCTGGGGGCTTGGAGCAGTGGGGGGCCCAGTGAGTCGGTGTCTTGGTGAATTGGGGTGTGCAAAAAGCCGGGGTGTCGGAGGGTTGCCAGGGACAGGGTCCGCTGGGAGGGGTCCAGACACGGGCGTGGTGGGACAACAAAATCACTAGGGCTCTGTGAAGTCCGCACAGCACTAAACACTTGAAGATTCAGGCTGAAACCATAGGTCATTTTCTGCTAACGGAAGGCACTCGCACCAGAAGAACAGGATCTTCCTACCTCAGTTTGGTGGAGTTCGCTTAAATGCTACTTCTGGGGGACAGGAGACCCTCGGGAGTAGCAGG